GTTCAAAATTGTTAGTAATTAGGGAAATGCAAATTAAAGCCACTCTAAGGTATCACCTTATCCCAATCAGACTGGTCAGGATCTAGAGAACAACAGAAGTGGTGGGGATAAGGAGAAAGGGAACACCTGTCCACTGACATTGGGAATGCAAAATGGCTCCTTGTGAAACCCCTATGGAAAGCAGTGTCGAGAATGCTTAAAAAAACTAAAAATGAACTCTACCATATGACAAGGTTATACTACTCCCTGGCATAAACCCAAAGAACTCATCCTAATACAAAGAAAGTTGTACATCCATGTTTGTTACTGCTCTTTCCACAGTAGCTAAGAGATGGAAGAAACCTCAGAGGCCCCTAACTGATGAGTAGATAATGAAAATGTGGTATATTTACACAATGGAGTTCTACTCAGTGGTAAAGCTGAAATTGTAAAATTTGCAGGTAAATAGATGGAGCTAGAAACTGTTATACTAAGTGAAGTAACACAGACTCAGAAAAACAAACAACATATGTTCTCCCTCATATGTGGCTCCTAGCACCAAATCCTTTTAAATTCCAAGTCATTTTAACACAGCAGTCCCTTTTGCATGAAATAACTACCATCATCATGACTTAGGCTGAGCCTGATCACTAAACATAGTCACAACTGGGCTTGCTGAAGGTTGTGCTCATTCATTAAAGGAGGGCCAAGTAGAGTCACTGGACCCTCACCTGAGTATCCAGCCACTCTTCCCAGCCAACTAGTCCAGCCTTGGAAGACAAAAGAAAAATGAGGAGGAACCCAATAGAGGGATGCTTTTGGGAGCCCTTGTCAAGAAACTCCAATGGACTCTCATATGAACATTTGAAAATTGCCCTGTTCTGACTTTTTTTCTAGTTCCCTGTCTAGAACTTGTAATGCTAATTACTCTTGCCTTTACTTCTCCTTCACATCTCCTATTCATGATTCAAGGACTTTCTTCTCCCCTAGAGACAAGAGTTATGCAATTTGGGAGTCTTTCAGATAGACCCACTGAAGGGGTACTCCAATTGCCTCACCCTGCATCCCTGTTCAGCATGGAAGAAGCCAGAGTGGTTGGCGTCCCTATTCCCTATTGGCAATTTGGGTAACCCCTTCAAGAGGATGCTGTGATAAGAATAGGAGGTAGGAATTGGCTAGGCAGTTAGGGTAAAAAGACCCCAAAGAAATGTAGCCATTTTTTTGGCTAAAAGTCAAAATGTCCTTGGGCCTGTTAGCAACATATTCTGTTCCAAAAGACAAAAATGTCAAAAGTATTTGGGAGCTTGTATCTAAGCTTTGCAATCATTCTTATCCTTTTAAAATAATGTCATTATTGAGGCTGGAGAGAAGGCTCAGTGGTTAAGAGCATTGGCTGCTCTTGCAGAGTACCTATGTTTGGGTCCCAGCACCCACATGGTGGCTAACAACCATCTGTAACTCTAGTTCTAGGGAATCTGATGCCCTCCTCTGATCTCTGTGGGCACTGCATGCATGGGTGTACTTACATGTGTGCAGGTCAAACACTCATATGCATAAAATAAAAATAAACAATGTCATTATTTGTATGTTTTTATCAACAAAGCCAAGCTGTCTGACATTTCCTTAACCGTTCACCAGTAGTAGACGATGTATAGTTGTTTAACAAATTGAAACATTGTTGCCTTCTTCCTTTTAGAAGGAAGGACATATTTTTCTGTGGAGGGAAATATATCCATACTGTTGCTGTGGAAATCGGTGTTCCCTTTCCGGTTCTTAGTCTTAATAAAATAATTTAGAAACGGATGCAGAGGAAACTCAAGGTCCATTTCTTTTAGAGTGTGAGAGAAAAACAACAGGGCTGGCAAGCTGTCAATTTGATAGCTACCAGGAGGGAGATGGGAGAAGAGGAAGAGAGAAAGCCATGCCTTTTTGAGTTAGGGTCCAAGAACGCCACACGTTCAGCAATGGAAGAGGGTAAAAAGCTGCATGGCGGAAGGGGACAAGGGCATCAGAGACACAGAAGTTCTGAGTGTCAGGGAAGGTATGCTTAGGCTTTTGGCCAGTATCCAAAAGAAAAAGAAAGAAGGAAAAGAAAAAGTCATACTTTTCTGTGTTAGAACTCAGAAAAAAATGCAGTCCGCATGGTGGAGGTTCCATAACTACTGTCCTAAGAGAGGGGCTTCTGGGAAGGTCAGATATGTTATATTATTAAGTAGATAATATTAGAAACAAGTTCAGAGTAGAAAAGAAAGAGACCACCACTCCAGTTAAAATATCTTGACACTTTACTTCTGATCATCAGGGAGCATGGCTCACACAAAAAAGGCAAGCATCCAGAGTAGGAAATTTGATAGGGTTTTTTAGTCTAACAGAAGAGCACTGTGTCTCTTCTCCACTGGCTGGGGTCTTTATGGTTGTCTACTTTTAAAAGAATTGGAGGCAAAGGAAATGAAGGAAAGGGGGAAGGGGCTAGCTGCTCTGGATCACCAAGTTCTGGGGAATGCAGCAGGGTCTTTGTCTGAACAAAAATTTTACAAGGTGTCGGGGGGGAGGGGGCAATTAAAAGATTTGAATTCCTTGTGACAAATAGTAGTCATACAGTGTTTGATAGAAATACTGATATTTAATGTTTCTTACAGATAATTATTCCTCACATCTCCTTAGCATGTCCTCAAGTGAATCAGATTTCCTGTGGAGTGGTCTCTTGCCCAGGTGGTTGACATATCCAGCTAGATTAATTTTTAGGGGAGGAGACAATGGTATGTAATGATCTAACCTTTGTACGGATCAGAATGTCATATCTCTACCCAGGGTCAAAGGTAGAGTCTATTGTTTTGACCAAGAGGAAGTAGCTCTCTCTTAATGGATCTCAACAAAGCCCTGATAACTTCACTTTTTCATATGGCACGTTAAACATGGGAAATCCGAAGTGGGGTCCAACGTTGACCATAGGGGAGCGGGTCATGAGGAAGGAGGTCAGTCCTCATTGGCCTCCAAGCCCAATATAATGCCTGTCTAGCTATCTAACAATACTGAAAAGGAGATAGGATGGGAGGAATAATTACCCTCTTGAGGAGATAAAGTACTTATCTTTCCAGAAGCCCCTCCCACCGGAGCTGCTTGCATCATGTAACTCTGCTAAGTTTGTCCACTTGTCTGAGGAAAGTGTAACTTTTCCTCTGTCCTACCTCCCATTCACATTTCACTTGCTGAATACTGACTTTTCCTATTTTATTCAATGTTCTATGTCCATTCAAGCCTGGCAAAGAGTTATTTGTCAGCAAGTATTTATTGACTGAATGAATTATATAAAAGTATTTATTTATATAAATATATAGATACATACACATATGTATTTATTTGCTTTGGCAACTGTCTGCAAGAGAAATTTCATGTAACTATTCATGGAAAACATGAAAAGATAAGCCTGGGGCTCCTTCTTGGCATTTATGTGAATAAGCTTCACATTTTAAGTACAGTTGTTGCTAGGGGCTCAGTCATCAAAGAGCAGCCTTGGATCTTAGCAGAGGCCTTAGTCAATGCGACACTGACCTCTAGTGGATGAAACTGAGAATACAGCAGTTTTAAGTTAAAAAAAAAAGTTTGCAGTCCTACCAATCACTGAAGGAAGTGAAAATCCCAAAGTTCCCTCGTTTTCCAGTTCCAGTGTAAACTGACCTCTTCTGTCACTGCAGAAAGAGCCTACTATCAAATTCTTTCTTCATCCCAGCATTCTGGGCATTATCAGTGTCTAGAAACACCGACATCAGAGCTTCTAAAGGAACCTACAAGATAAGGTTTTATAACAAGGCTCTGTAGGAGCCACTTTTTTTTTTTTTTAACCTTGATTCCTTTTTTGTTCTAAGTCATCTTTTCCAGCTTCCTGGTGGAGGGCTGCACCTGAGAGGAATTTTAGATGCCTTACTAATCAAAAGCCAAATATATGTGTATCAGGAGAGAAAAAGACCAAGAAGGGATGAGTTTGACTAACATGCAGATGTAAATTTGAGGTGTACACAATCTATTTTTCCTTGCGAGCAAATCGTGAGCCACGCAAACTGTGAGCCATGACCCTGCTGTTCCACATTCTCCTCCTATCTGTGCACAGAGAGAAGTCCCAAGATCCCAGACCATGCAAGGTGCACATTCACCTCTGATGAGATGCTTCAGGCCACTGACACTTTACTGAACAGATTGTCATCACATTCTAGTCTCCAGGCTTGAAGGACACTACTGCCCACTGGCCTCAATCAAGTCCTTATAAATATCCTTAAGTATCTCTTACTCTTTATCTGTATGCAGACTGCTGCTCAGCAAAGAAAATCTTTTGGAACCAAAATATTTGCCTCAGTGAAAAGTAAGCTCGGAACTTGGAGGGGATTACAAGGAACAAAGCCGTGGCGGCCTTCCTGCCGGGCAGAGGCAAAGCCAGGGTCACTGGAGAGCTACTACCTACTCTGCCAGAACGCATGCTCAGGAGTCAGGCCAACAGGAAAGACGCTGAATTCCCTGACCAGACCCACTCACACAGTGCGGGGCAGAGGACTCCACTGCCCAGGTAAAACAAGAGACAGTTGGATCTCTACCCAAGCCCCAGCTGTTCTCCAACCTCTACCCAGTCAACAGAGTGAGTCATACCACCAACCAATACCTGTTCTCCTAGCCCATTCTTAGAGGAAGGGTACTTTTGCGCACACGACTCAACATAGTTTTCCTAAACACCTGGACTTTGTACACCTGTAAACACTTGGCAGCCACCACAGTATTTCAATTAAATTGAACCACACCAGCTGGCTCCATAGGCGTTTGATGAAATGGAAGCGATACAGCATATATTTAATACACAGAGGGCATTCTGCACTTGGCCTCCGTCATGCCAGGAACCTAGCTGTCAACTTTTAATAAGCCCTGTTGTATAAGGGAAGATGTACAGGTGGAGCAGGGCTGTGAGACCACGTATTTCAGGGACATCTTCCTAGAAGGCTTTGGCTTGAGCGACCCGAGTGGCTTGGGGTACCTACCATCTCCTTGAAGGCGCTCTCCAGGGCCCCAATGACCAGGCACTCATGCGGGATCTTCTTCTCGGTGAAGAAGCGCGTGGGTGGTGTGCTGGGGGAGCCGGGGGCACCCACCCCTCCACGCAGAGAGGCGGCGCGGGTCAGGGTGCGGCTGTGGGCGGGTGTGTTCTCCGGCTCCTCGCCCAGGCAAGTCGGGGGAAGGACGGCAGAGTTCTTCAGGATCTCCACGATGTCCTGCAGCTGCTGCGTGACGTGGTGTTGCAGCAGGCGTGATGCCACCACGGCGGCCCCTGAGCCTGCGTGACCATCAAATAGGGACCAGTAGTGGCAGGAGACACCTTCGGACTCCTGGGGAGAGAGGGTGACAGGGAGAGAAGTGAGGACCAGGTAGCCTCTGCCCTGCCACTCTCACCCTGTAAGGTCTATGCACCGCTGCTCATCCACTTGGTTATCTAAAAATTGTGGGGTCAAATTGCTCAGAGTAGGGTCCTCACATTAATTACTGCTGTTACCAACACCCACGGGATGACATGTCCCTCCCCCGCAGAGGAAGAGGAGCCCTAACCATTATCCACTGGGCTACTGCTTGGAGGAAGGGATGTACTCTAATTGGATGCCTGGGTTTGTGATAAAACTCCATATAGAAAGTAGAGGAGTCCAGCTTTAACATCTGACTTCTCACCTCCTTTCAGCTGCAATCCCAAACTAGGTTTGGCATTGCAGTCTTTGGAGAACATCCTTTTCCAAAGTAGTAAGTAGACCCATTTTCCCCCTTTAGGGATCTCTCTCTCTCTCTCTCTCTCTCTCTCTCTCTTCTCTCCTCTCTCCTCTCTCCTCTCTCCTCTCTCTTCTTCCTTGGTCTATTTCCTGTGTTCTTAAGCCATATTTTCCCCCTAAACCCATTTTAATCCAGTCCTCTCAAGAAGCTGGCTGGCCAGAAAGCCCCAAGGATCCAAGCATCTTCACGCTGTAGAGCTGCAGTTACAGGTGCATGATGCCAGGCCCAGCTTTTTTGTGAGTGCTGGGGATTCAAACTCAGGGCCACATGCTTACACAGCAAGCTCTTTAACACAATGAACTGTCACCCAGACCCTGGCCAGTGGCTTTCTAGAGTTCTTCAAATGAGCACTTTTAGAAACCATTTTAAAATTACACATGCAAGCCAGACATGGTGCAGACACCTGTAACCCCAGCACTCAGGAGGCTGAGGTAGATGAGCAGTTTGGGTGAATTTGGGGCAATCTTGGCTATGTAGTTGAGTCCTGTCTTAAAACACCCCCAAAATACATGTGCATAAGATGTATGCAGCAGGCACAACAGTAGACAGTGGTGACTGACTGAAAGAAATATGGGCATGCCCTGCTTTTAATAACCCATGGGGAAACAAACCCTAATAAGAGAGTCACTTCAATCAACAGGAGGTCACTTGTCTGGTCAGTGCTCCAAGGAGGGCTTCTTGGTGTGAAGCCAGCCTTCAGATGGGCACACTTTAAGAGACTAAGGATGTGAAGACCAGGCTGAGGGCTACATAGAAGTTCATATGTAAAAAGGGAGGGGAGGCAATGCCAGGAAATAGCAACAGCAGGTGCAGAGGCCTGTGGGAGGAAGGTGTACGAGTAAGGGGAGGATACATCATGGCCATGCCGCTCAATGGGTTGTGACACAGGAAAGGAGGGGAGAGGGGTGAGACTGTAGGGTAGTGGTAAGGCCATTCTATCATTTCAGGACACATGAGCCCAAGAGTCACAAAAAGCCAAGGAGGCACTGTCCAATTTGACTCACGTTTTGCAAAGAAAATCACTCAAGCTATATTTTGACAACCAGGACAGAAGAGTTTGAAAGTGTGGATGCCAGTTAGGAAGTTGCACCCTAAAAAGAATTCAACCAGACTCAGACAGACACACACTAAGAGTTGCTGCAGAGCAGAAGCACCAGCAGAACTCTAACTCAGAGCCAAGGGACATGAAGAGAGCTAAACATTAAGGATTAGCAGTCTGGATGCCAGCCCCACCTTCCACACACATCAGTCAGCTGGGTGGGAGGCAATGGTCGTTCAGCCATGGCTGGGTCAGGCATGGCCTGGTAGTCAAAGGAGCTGATCTCTTTGCTGTGGTTTCTTGATGTGAATTGCAGGTGATAGTTACCTTATGCAGGAAGAGGTAAGGGAGCTAAACACAAGGTGTGCCAAGTGACAGCTACATACTATGTACAAAACACAAGTGCACAGCAGCTACCACCAATCTTGGAGTCTTTCTCTTTTTTTTGTATAAAATATTTTATTTATTGTTTTTATTTTATGTGTATGAGTGTATTGCCTGCATGTGAGTGCACCTGGAATGCCATGGAGGTCAGAAGAGGGCTTCGGATTCCCCTGGAACTGGAGTTAAGATGGTTTGTAGCCACCATGTGGGTGCTGGGAATTGAATCTGGTTCCTCTGCAAGAGCAGTCAGTGCTCTTAACCACGGAGTCATCTCTCCAGCCCTCTTGGAGTCTTTCTAGGCTTCAGTTCTCCACCAAATGGGGGTCTACCCTCGAGGACTTCTATGCCTCTGCTAACTCTGAAGTTCTATTGTGCAGAAACAGAACAGTGTGGCTGGGGAACGTGGGTGGAGATCTTGGCCTTGAAGACAGGATAAACATGACTGGGACTTAGAGATGACAGGGCCTGGTAGCCCAGGGACAGGGAGTACCAGGTGGCTCAGTGATGCAGGAGAATTAGGAAGACTCTGCTTCTCAGGGATCTCTTCTCCCTTCTTACTAGCGACTGTTTGGGAGAGTGATGTATTCTTTACACACTGATTCCCAGACTGCTTTGCAGGTCTGTGTGGACTTGTGATATGCTGGTCAGGGAGTGCCCAGTAGAAGCCTCATGGATGGATGGAGTTAAGGAACAATCTGACTGGCCTGGACTCTTCCCCCTTCGTTCTTCTCTCTTCCTGCATAGGTCACAGAAGTAGCACCTGGAAGTAGAATTAGCACCTTGCAGGCAAGCAAGAAAACAAGGTTGAAAGCTATAGGCCCAGATGGGGGGACCAGGGGTCAGAAGAGTCTGGGCCCCGGTAGTCTTGCTTGGGGGACCACACAAGCCTCGTGCCATTTTGGTTTGGGCTTCTTGTCATGTGGGCTTCATGGCATTTGAGCAGCTATTCTTGTCAGGAGCTGAGGCCACAGAATAGAAAGGGTGCATGTGTTTGTAGGGTATCCTGGAGCCTGTGGCCAGCAAAGGAGAAGAAGAATGCAAAATGAACTAGGTACGGGCACAAAAAGGAATTATAAATGGGTAGCAACTGGAACAAAGCTGAACCCAGTTCTGGGCTCTCAATTCAGGGAGCTGTGAGTAGGATTTGGGGGTCCAATTAATCTTTATTTTCACAAACCTCCAATGTTTATCCTTTCCTCCTATTAGTACTACTTGGTAATAACAGTATTGGCAGTACCTGCCCTTCCCCAAAGAGCCACCAAAGCTGTCATTCCAAATACCTTGGGTTATGGTTTATGTTCACCGACACTTTGAAATGTCAGTTGTAACTAAGTCTATGACTAATTCTGGTTATTTGTTACATTAATAAAAGGCATGTTATATCACAAATATGGTTAATTTTTAGTAACTACTTCAATATACAGAATTCTTTGCTATGCATATATATTATTATTAATATTTATCTATTTATTTGTGTGTGTGTGTGTGTGTGTGTGTAGGTGAACATGTGCTACAGCATGTGTGTGGAGGTTCCACTTTGTGGAGGCAGAGTCTCTCTTGTTTCTGTTGTGCTGGCTCACTCGTAGGCATCCAGGCATTCTCCCATCTTGCCTTGGGGTACTGGGATTACAGATGTGCACCACCACATTACATCTGGCTTTTTATGTGGGATCAACCTCAGGTTGTCAGGCTTATATATGGTAAACACTTTCCCCCACTGAATCATCTCTCCAGCCTTATTTAATTTAATTATTGCACTTAGAAACATAATCCTGGGCTGAAGAGATATCTCGGTGGTGAAGATCATGGATTGCTCATGCAGAGTACCCAAGTTTGGTTCCAGTACCCATGTCAGGTGGCTCCAGGGGATGTGACGTCCTCTCTTGAACTCTATGGTGCACACTCTCTCTCTCACACACAGACACACAGACACACACACACACAATTTAAAACTAATATAAAACAAAAACTTTCCCACACAGTCATTAGTAATAAGGGAAAGGAGATACCAGACAAGTAGTCTTCCTCATCCTCCTGCATCTTTGAGTCACCTGGTACTCCCTGTCCCCGGGTTTCACTGGATGACACGAGAAGCTGAGGAGCCCTGTTTTCCCGCTGTGCTGAGGGAAGGCATGTAGGAGATGGGCCTGCACTCCTGCTGCAGCAACCATGACCCCATGTGGACTGCTTTGACCACAAAGAGCTTTACCCTAGGCATCAACCAGGTATTTGACCAGCCAAGGGCCACATTAACCCAGACAGTAAACAAAGTGATTCAGCTTGCATCCTGATCATCACCATGGTCTCCTAGATGGGGCAGTCATGTTTTTCTATTGGTCTGGATAGCCCTCCCTGGAGTACAGTGGCTTTCCCAAAAGAGAGACCCACAACCAGGAAAAAGGGCTGTTCTGCTGCAGAACAGAAGGGTTTCTTTATCATTGCAGTGAGTATCCCAAAGGGCCCAAGGCCACCTATGCATAACTCCCAGACCTTCCATACCCAACTTAAGACCCAGAAAATGTTTTTAAGGACTTGTCACAGGAGCAGGCAACAGATGCAGTGGAGTCCCCCTGCCCAGATCTTATTGTATAAAACTTCATTGTGTGTCTAGAGTCATGGACCACAGCACAGAAAATCCTGTAGGATGCCCCACACGGCAGCTTAAGTCTATTCCATTTTAAGGGAAACAGTTTTGAAGTTTTCCTGACAAGTAGTCCAAACATTACCTTCAACCAGGGAAGGCATTCCAGCTATGCCACAATTCTCAGCTGAGAAAATAGTGGAAAACTTTAAACAGTCAAGAAGAAACTGGATTGGTGGGGGGAACCCCTCTACATAACAGTGCCAGGAACTGGGGCAGCTAACCTCTAAATACAATGACTGAGTCTTGTGACTAAAAACTGCAAGGCATAAAGAAAGTGTGTTTCTTACTATAGATGGAGAAACCGAGTGGTAGTTGATGCTAGGGTCCAGCACTGACTATTCTTAAAAGTCCCCAGGTGAATCTACTGAGCAGCCAATGTTAAGAATCTGTGTATTAATGGAGAAGGGAATGGTAAGCACTCAGGAGACCAAGGGTATGGTCCCCAATCTGTCATTAGCTCATTAGATGACTCTGGGTAAGTTAAATCTCCCAGAAGGGAACAG